TAAATACATTTTCATTTTTTTTTTTAAGATTTTACATAGGATTTTCTGACACTGGAGAAACTGCAACAAGAAAACAATAGCACGTTTTCTTACATATTTAGTGTTTCATGTATCAGTTTAAGGAAGATTACAGCCTCCTCGTCGCTCCACTCAGCTCTGACAGTTTAGCATCTTGAGTGGGAGTTTATGTACACCATTTACTCACCAAATTTGTTTCCACTGAATGTGGCTTTTAGCTCTACAGCTACTTTAAATCAGCTTCAAATTTGAGTTCATGTTGAAATTTTTGTTCGTGTCTTTAGGTTTTTATGCATTAATTGCTGTTGCTAGGCATCATTTTTGGAGCTTTAGACAGAACCAGGTTTCTGTTTCCCTCAGTTTTCAGTTTTATGCTGAGCTAGGTTAATCATTTCATGCTTTAGGTTTTTCAGGATTGTGTTTGTTTTTGTTTTTTTTTGTGGTAAAACACACCTAGCAGCCTTTATATACAGTTTTTCAGCCTGTTGTGTGAAATCCATATTGTTATTCAGTGTTTGCTACTGCAGTACAAGGTATGGCCAACTACACTTGTACTTTGTATTTTACATGTAATTACATATACATGTGCAGTCAGCATGTAGAACTTTGCATAAAAATTCAAGCCTCAGTATAAAGACCATTTACTTTTCACCCATCACAAGCGTTAGTGGGATGTAAAATATGATTGAGCCAGCGTAAATCACATGTAAAAAACTAAGTACTGATAAAGTATAAATTGGTTTAGAAGCCTTCATGGAAAGTCAAATCGCAACACTTGACTGCAAATGATACACAATGTACTTTTAATGTTTCATTCAGTATGCTCTGTGTGTGGGTGTGCTGCTCTCCAGTTCGGTTACCACAGTAAAGGACAGAGGGCTCCAACCTCTTCAATTAATCATTGCAGACTCTCATTACACACACTCCTGATGGGCCAGGCCACCTGGACCTCAGATATCAAACACACACACCGTCTAAAGCCACACTTGCACTCCTTGCCATGCACACCTGTGCTGGCAGACTGAGCCCACAGGAACAATAGCCAGTGTTGTGTTTGTGGTCAGACCATCTCATCGTCACATAGAGGGCCTTTCATCTTTTCCTGGCAACTGGCCAGCCAATCAAAAAACCCACCTTCCTGGGTAACACCTAATCTAATACAGGCACATAGTGTGTATCTGTTACCACACTGGTCTTTACTTACACTATGTATTTTTTATCTGCATCTATATTTCTTTGTTTCTCACTTTATAGAGTGTTGCTCCAAACGTATGATTTTGATAATTGAGCCATTAACATTTTTTGTTCCTAGAGTGTGTGCTTGGAAATTTGTTAATTATTAAGTGAGCTGTGTGTTTGTAGGTGTTATCCTTTACATTCTCCTGGTGGGATACCCTCCATTCTGGGATGAAGACCAGCACAGACTATACCAGCAGATTAAAGCTGGAGCTTATGATGTGAGTTTGACAGTCGGGCTCTCTCTGTATCTCTCTTCCTCTGTCTTTTTGTAATGTTAAGAGAGCATTAAGTCACTGAGTCTGAGGACAACTAATGAAATACATTTTTAAATTTACCCTAAGTCATTTTAAAAACTAGGTGGTTGTGAGGTCTCCCTCTTATAACTTTGTTGTCAGACATTTTTAATACCACCCTGTGTTGCCTCTCCTGTTAAATTTCTGTCATATCTCTACGAAAAGCGTACCATAGCAGACAGGCTGTAGCTCTGTAAACAGCATCTGTTGTCTATTCTCCACTGTACAACCAGCCAGATGGGTGGGTTAGAGGAGTGAGAAAGGGAGATGGATAGAAATGCTATATATCAGAAAAGTAAATCTTTTATGGTCCAGTACACTGGACCTAAAGCTTGAAATTGCTTAAGAACTGAAGGTCAGATATCACATTAAATCAAAGGTACTGGTAATGTACCAGCTTTGTCCATTCTCAGAAGTGATGGATGGTGGAACATGATGGCAAGAATTCATATATGTGTTATTGTGTTATCAGGAGGCATTGGCCATATAGTAACTTGTCACAAACACAGCCACCGGTGCCCAGTGGCGTTTCTGACCCCTAGCAGTGCTATGAGGCAATAATTTGATGAGTGGATCCCCATCTTGTTTGTATCTCATATGCACACAAGGACAAACATGCACTGACCTGTACACACAGTACACACTTCTGCCAATACTGTGAGAATATTCCACTAATTTACAGTTGGTGTTTGTAACCAAGAAAATTAGCAGTGCACCAGTGAAAGGCAGGGAAGACTGCATGTTTGTCAGGCCTCAAGCATACAAACATTGTTTTTGCTAAGAAATTCTCAATGTAAACAGAACTTTGGTTGGAAGATACTTCATAAGGCTACCTTTAATCTGGGGTATACATTTTTTCCCTGTTTTTCCCCGTTTGACTGTTGTTGCAAATGCACAATACACCAATCTTTAAAGAAGGAGCTTTGCATCTAATTATAGAAAAGTCCCCTAAATTTAGGTCAGGACATATTAAAGTAAGCTGGCCTAAAATCTGACCGCTTGATATAAACTTTCAGTACTTGAAACTGTTTAAAATGTGATACTGCATGACACATTTTTGTTGGCAGTGCAAAAGCTTTGAGGCTCAATAACTAACAATGGATTGTTGGCTGTTCAAAGATACACTGACCTTTAAAGAGAGAAATCACCTCAGCCTCATTGTTTCTGCACAAGTGAAGGAAATGAAATAGTGTGCATGGCAGTAAGCAAAAAGAGTTAGAACTTCTTAATGCACATTAATCTTGCGCATTCATAGTTCAAGTAGATGCATATTAAGCACTCTGAATGGTTTCTGTGATGCCGTTCTTTTAACAGTTCCCTTCTCCAGAATGGGACACAGTGACTCCAGAGGCAAAAGACCTGATCAACAAGATGCTGACCATTAATCCAGCCAAGAGAGTCACTGCCACAGACGCACTCAAACACCCCTGGATCTGCGTACGTGTCACATATACACTTTCACAAACACTTTTTCAACCATTTTAAGCGCAGTCAAGGCATGTCTATGAACACACCCTAAAACACTGCACACCGTCTCCTTGTGTTCACAGCAACGGTCCACTGTGGCTTCCATGATGCACAGACAAGAGACTGTGGAGTGCCTGAAGAAATTCAATGCTAGGAGGAAACTCAAGGTGAGTGACAACAGTAGCTCCTATACAAGATGGGAGAAAGTCCCCAAAATGATGGTTCAATTTGCTGCACTAAAGTTAGGGGAGAAATTAAAATATTTGGTCTTAGTCATAAGAACCAGAATATCCAGTCATTAACCTTTCAGCCTGTATACACATGGTAGTCTGTTCCTTTCTGTCTCCATTCCTCTCCCCCAGGGTGCTATCCTGACTACTATGCTCGCCACACGCAACTTCTCAGGTAGGACTGACCCGGTTCTAATGTAGTTTGACAATTAGTTCTCCCATTTATTCCCAGTCCTGCTTAAAGTATTGATCCCTTAAAGACAGTCCCTCATGTTTCAGTCAATAATACCATCACTGATGACAGTTTTTCCTTAACTCTCTTTATTTTGTGTTTGGCTGTTGTTTAAAATGCTGCTTTTTAGAGTGCAGCTGTTGTTCAAATGCCATCGACTGGCCTTTAGAGTCCACTGAGCTCCATCTGTCCTCTGTTTTAGCTGCTATCAACAGAGACTAAATGATCATAAAGATCAATAAAGTCCCATCTTCAGGTCCCTTTAAAGGTCAAACACTCAAATGTATAGCATTATTGACTCTATCTCATTGACAAATCACAGCAAAGCTTACTTTTTCATTTACCTTAGAGAAAGCATAAATAAAATGACATTTTTCAGTATTACATCAGTAGCAGTGTAAAAATGCCTTACTTGTGTTTTTCTTCCTTCCTCCTATGTGGTAACTCGTGTAAGGTAAGAGTCCTTGCTGTTGACACTTGTCCAGTGTCAAATCACAAGGCAGGTTTGATTATGAGGCATGCTTTGTCTACTAAAGCATCAGAATAGGGCTTTCAGCTGGCACAGTGTATCTGTCGGTGGCCATATTGGGGGATAGCACTTATATTTCAAAATTATAACATTTCTGAAATGCTTACAAGATATGCAAATGATCAGAAGGTGGTTGTATGCAAGTATACAGACATTTAGTACACCTGTATAAATCATTATACAGATGTTATCTGTTTATATATATGTATATAAACAGATAACAGCTGTATAATGGTTTTTACAAATGTGTGTGTATATAAAAAAAAAGTTCTTATTATACAGATAACACCTGCATGATAAACAGTGTAGGTATGTTTAGATATTTGTTAAATGTGGATGCGTATTTGTTACCCACAACAGTTAGTAATTATAGATTACATCACATTCACCAGATTTGCATATCTCAGTTGAATAAAACAAAACGAACTTGTGTTTAAACTGATTTTGAACAGTTTCGGTCTCATAAGTCTGTCATACTTAGTGAAATATTAGTCCCGCTGTCCTGTTAAATCTTAATGTTGTGATCATATAGAAAAAAAAAAGTTCTTTTGATTTATGCCTGCTTTACTGGCCACACTTTGTCCAAATTGAAGTCACAGGTTTTCATTTATCAACAGTTATAAAAACCAGCAGTGAAAAATTCAGTGCACTTTTGGTAGTTTATGACTGTGTAACAAGCATCTGGTCAACTGTCACTAATGGGTCAAATAACATTATGTTGAAAATGTCCCATTTTAAAGCCCCTTGTGTGTTTTAAACTTGTGATTTTGGTGATTCATAGTGAAAGAATCAACAATGACAAAAACAAAACCGGTTTCTCTAGAATACTTTGAATGAGGTTTTAATCAGAATTCTACACATAGTGGTTTAAGCTGGTTTTGGCTACACATGAGCCAACTCCACCTAATGAGATCAGAGCTGTACAGACTGGATATTATGGTGTGTGTCATTGTTAAATTACTCCTAAAAAGGTCTTCCAATATGGCTGCTAAAAGATATTTGATGTCACTGCAACGCCTCTGTCAGGTACTAAACATGCACATGTCTCTAGTTTGACAATTCACTCCTGCAAATAAAACCCTTCACCCTTGAAGAGGATGCACCAAACCCCTGTTCTGCTGTCACTAACAGCCATCTCTACCCTCTCTCTGACTGTCTGCATGTTGACTGAAGAGCAGGTGGTCATTCATTGGCCACCTAACTTGTGGAATCAATCACCACTCGTGATTTCAGCTCAAATTTTTTTCCAAATCTAGGGTGTTCTGTAGCATGATTTAGATAAAACATACTTAAGTGCCTGGGTGAAAGTGGGCAGAGAAATAAAGAAAGCTAAAGAGCTCTGTTCCCTGGACACTGTGGCTCTGACTACTGCTGCCACTGTCTCCTACAGTCTTGTCAGATGAATCTAATTGCATGTTCCAGACTAATGATTCACTAAGTTTTATTTCATCTCCTGACTTAATTTGCATTTTTCCCTTCTGTTTCCAATTCTAGCAGAGCCCACTGTGAGGTTGCTAGTAATTGGCCAGCCTTGAATTGACAGTATGTCCTTGCTTGTGTGTATGTGGTGTGTGTATTCCATCTGGCCACTGATTTCCTTGTATTGTTATCTTTTTCTCTG